GTTGTTTTTTTTTGTCAAGCAAGTGTTCAAGTTGTGCACAGTCAAATTTGATCTTTCGTGGCTCGACTTTCGATTTTCTTTATTTTGAATACAAAACTACTTGCTAAAACAGTCAGACTACGCTTTCCCAGCAGAAAGGCAAAAAGCGAGAGTGAATATAAGGTTCGAATTGCATTTTAGTTTCTATGTTTCACAGCGGAATAAAAATTACATTTTGACTAGTTTTTTCTATTTGGTTTATGAAAAAGTTCTTGAAATTCATGAGGAGCCTTAAGACCATCTTTTGTAAGAAAATATTACAAAATTAATCATTCATTTTTTTTCAGTTTTCTTTAGTTCGTTGGTACTTTTTCCAATTACGTATTGGCTATTCTTGGATAAGTGGTAATTGAGTTTGGACGACTGCTTCGAGCTCCCATTTGGTAGAAATGGTGGCACTATTGTGCACGAATTAGTAAGCAGCCTTTCTTGCCCACAGGCTGATTAAAAGTCCCTTTCATCTCCGTTTTTCTCTTAATATGCCGCCCTTTTGCCTCGAGCAGAATAGTCTGGATTATTTTTATAGGACACTCATATATTTTTCAATGGTACAGTTCTACCGTTTTTTGAAAAGCACGTACGTTATAGTTGCAGCTCCAGGTGATTTTTGACTTTATGGCGCTTCAAATGGATCTATCCTTACGAAAACCATCATACTCTAAACTATCACTATGCTCAAAATATTTCAGTATCGCATTGAAGCCCATTATAAAGCAATGCTGCTTGATTCAAATTTTTGAGGTTCTTTATCTTTTTACACTTATGTTGGATGATCCGGACTTTTTCTTGCTAACAATTTTGGCTGGTTTTTCCTACAATCTGCTTAATTTTTCTGAATTTTAATTAAACTGCTTTTTGCTGCCGTATTATAGTATCTATATAAAAAAATGATTTTACTTATTAAAAAGAGTAAGAATCTGATCTAAAGGGAGTTTCGCTCAACTTGTATAGGTACGTGCATACAGTCCACGCGTACTTGCTAGGTCTACTGGCAATATTATTAGAACTTGGAGTTGAATGGAGACATCATTATAAGTTTCAAAGGCTGACAGAAATGGTTTTTTTTTAAAATTGTTTCTCAAACTTATAACCCCCTCGTTTTTTACTACCCTTTTCTTAACTCCCTCTTATCTAATTCCAGAATTAGATAAACCCACTACAATTTAACCATTTTTCAATTCGAATTGTTAGTATCAAAGTGAATTTTATTTAAAATGGATTCGGAACCATAGCGTCGGTAAAAGTCAATGCTTCAATAATAGATTTGTTGGTTGAATTTAAGAGAAATTTAAAATAAAAGTTGATTGTGACCAAAACGTTGATGTAATCAAAGCTTTATTCAAATACTAATCCTTTTAAAGTAAAACTTATTTAATTTTTGGAACCATCCAAGGTTTGTCAGTTTTATTAAAATTTCGGCATACAACGCAATGTATAAACGATATGCCACCTCTAGTGCCAATTGTTGGCATACAGTCCCTTGTCCCAACCTATCTTCCCGAGAAAGGCGATCGTTCCGCTATTTGTGAAAGACTAACATGTATAGATGAAAGTTGATGAAACATTTTAGGAGTGACTTTGGAAGTTCTGTCAGCCAACCAAAAGGCATTAGAATTTCAGTAGCACATGATTTTGTAGCACACGTAGAATTTCACAGTTGCCGATTAAAATAATCTTCTCGTGATCATTTTGTCTTCTGGCAAGTCGTGAAAATTTTTAATAGTTCGGGTATTTCGAAATTTCGGTTTGCTGGGAAAAACTGGTACAACCTTTCCTCGTTGCTTGCGCACTCGTTGTGAAGTTCAAATTAAATTTTTCAAGTTTGTAGAGCTACTTGAGTGGCAGTGTCGTCTGTGACAAGCTGAATTGCGGTTGCGACTCTGAAGGTAGGGTGTTACTATCGCTTAAATCCTTAATGTTTTTCAAAACTGATCGGGCATAAGGTTGTTCCGTATAAATTTCGTCACTATTTTAACCCCTCGTGTCAATAAAATTGTCTATCCGTACCTGCTGCTGCTCGGCATTTGTGAGCTTGGTATTTTGAGCTGTTCCAGTTCGCAGTTGTTGTGTTTTTCCTAAGAAGATAATACTTGTGGCCTGATACCAACAGTATTTATTTGTCTTTCGAAGATAAGGTGGGAAGGACGCTTCAAACATTATAGATCAGAGAATGGTGTTTCAATAGGTAAAGACTGAAGCAGAATGAGTTTTATAAAACTCAAAAACGTTTTTTGTTGCCTTCAAATAGCACCATGTAGATTATCTCTGTTTTAAACGCATGATTGAGGGATGATTTTTTTCGCTAATCTCACTGTTTGGGTACCAAGTTCTTAACCCCGCGTTTTTTTAAACCTTTTGCATACACCCCCTTGATTTATTTTTAAAGTTTTTTCTTTCTTGCTTACCCCGCTTTATCAGAACTATCCATTTGATTAAGTGTAGGGAAAATTGCGTGATTAGAATTATTTTGATTTATTGAGAAAACTTCAATGTGATATACTAACTTTGCTCCTGTTGCTTCCGATAGCTATTTGAACGAAGGATAATGATTTTTAAAAAAATCTTTCCAATTATGCCGTGCCTACAGAAGCCGAGCAAAACGAAGCTTCTTAGATGAACGAATTAAATATGAAGAAAAAAAGTGAGGTAAATAGGAAAAAGAACGAAACTGCAAGCCAACAACAGTATTTAAATTTTGAATAGTTTCAATAAACTTTCGATCTTTTTCTGAAAAAGGACAATATAAAAATTTCTTTCTTGCTTACACCGCTTTATCAGAACTATCCATTTGATTAAGTGTAGGGAAAATTGCGTGATTAGAATTTTTTTGATTTATTGAGAAAACTTCAATGTGATATACTAACTTTGCTCCTGTTGCTTCCGATAGCTATTTGAACGAAGGATAATGATTCTTAAAAAAATCTTTCCAATTATGCCGTGCCTACAGAAGCCGAGCAAAACGAAGCTTCTTAGATGAACGAATTAAATATGAAGAAAAAAAGTGAGGTAAATAGGAAAAAGAACGAAACTGCAAGCCAACAACAGTATTTAAATTTTGAATAGTTTCAATAAACTTTCGATCTTTTTCTGAAAAAGGACAATATAAAAATTTCTTTCTTGCTTACACCGCTTTATCAGAACTATCCATTTGATTAAGTGTAGGGAAAATTGCGTGATTAGAATTTTTTTGATTTATTGAGAAAACTTCAATGTGATATACTAACTTTGCTCCTGTTGCTTCCGATAGCTATTTGAACGAAGGATAATGATTTTTAAAAAAATCTTTCCAATTATGCCGTGCATACAGAAGCCGAGCAAAACGAAGCTTCTTAGATGAACGAATTAAATATGAAGAAAAAAAGTGAGGTAAATAGGAAAAAGAACGAAACTGCAAGCCAACAACAGTATTTAAATTTTGAATAGTTTCAATAAACTTTCGATCTTTTTCTGAAAAAGGACAATATAAAAATTTCTTTCTTGCTTACACCGCTTTATCAGAACTATCCATTTGATTAAGTGTAGGGAAAATTGCGTGATTAGAATTTTTTTGATTTATTGAGAAAACTTCAATGTGATATACTAACTTTGCTCCTGTTGCTTCCGATAGCTATTTGAACGAAGGATAATGATTTTTAAAAAAATCTTTCCAATTATGCCGTGCCTACAAAAGCCGAGCAAAACGAAGCTTCTTAGATGAACGAATTAAATATGAAGAAAAAAAGTGAGGTAAATAGGAAAAAGAACGAAACTGCAAGCCAACAACAGTATTTAAATTTTGAATAGTTTCAATAAACTTTCGATCTTTTTCTGAAAAAGGACAATATAAAAATTTCTTTCTTGCTTACACCGCTTTATCAGAACTATCCATTTGATTAAGTGTAGGGAAAATTGCGTGATTAGAATTTTTTTGATTTATTGAGAAAACTTCAATGTGATATACTAACTTTGCTCCTGTTGCTTCCGATAGCTATTTGAACGAAGGATAATGATTTTTAAAAAAATCTTTCCAATTATGCCGTGCCTACAGAAGCCGAGCAAAACGAAGCTTCTTAGATGAACGAATTAAATATGAAGAAAAAAAGTGAGGTAAATAGGAAAAAGAACGAAACTGCAAGCCAACAACAGTATTTAAATTTTGAATAGTTTCAATAAACTTTCGATCTTTTTCTGAAAAAGGACAATATAAAAATTGATTAAAAAAGTGATTTGTTGCTGGGAAGAAGATGGTTAAGTTTTGGCGAGGCTTATGTTTGCAAAAAAAATACTAAGGAACGAAAAACCTTTAGTTTTCTAAATTCGTTTTGCAAACAGAACCGTCATCAGAACTTTTATGATTGTTCCCAGCTACCGGCGTTCTGTTGACCCATCTGTGTATTGTTTGTTTTCAGGAGAAGAACGAAATTGATTGATTTCAGTAAAAATTCAAATTGTTCTGTTTTGTGATATCGTTTTTTGGAATCAAATAATTTTTTTACTTTCAATTTGTTTTTAATCTCAAGATGCATTTCGTGTCAGATGAGCATGTGTGTGTTCATTCTAAAATGATTGTTTTTCTTTCAACTATCTATCGGCAAAGCTTGTTTTAGATTAAAAAAAACTCTCATCGCTTGTTTTCGCTTCCTAATCCAACCTCACATACACGGGATATATAGAAATTTCAAAAATGTTGACAAATTTGAAAAAAGAAACAGTTTTTTTTTTCGGTGAAGTAGGTCTGTGTGAAGCTTAAACCGTTTCATTTGCATCTTGATGCTTCATTTGGACTGTTTAAAACTCACTTTTCGGATACTTCGATGGTTGAAACTTTGCTGTTTTCAAAAATACCGAAGATGAAAAAATGCTTTTGGTTCAGCTTGTGTCAGATTGGAACCTCGATATATTTTGTTTGGTGATATATCGTACTCAGGCAATTAAACGCTTACAAGTCCTGCTCGGATTTTATGCAATGCTATTGTTTTCAGGGTGTGTCCATGTATTCTGCTGTTCACCCTGAGCACCCTGCCCCAGATTTGGGTACTGGAGTTGGACATGATGGAGGAGAAACAGAGGTACCAGGAGGAAGGCATAAAGTCAGCAGTCGAAGTGGCAGTAGAGATGCAGAGACAAGTTAGTATTCGGAGAGTGATAAGTGCTAAGTGACTAATCATGGTTCAATTTAGTGCCAAGGAAGTCCGAGATAGGATCAATGTTTGAGAAAACCGATTTGTGGGAAAGAAAACTAATGTTTGAGAAAACCGCCTTTGAAATCCACAGTTTAAATGAAAATAACGTGAATTTTCGAAAGCGGCGACTTTTTTGAAAATTGTGAAGTTATTTTTGAAATAAAGACAATTTTTCTGAAATATTTCGCTCTTTAGCTGCGCACATGGTAGTTTTGATTCTTTTATGTGTTAATGAGCGATTTTCCATCTGTTGTGAAAAAGAGAAGCGAGGCGCAAATTTAATTCACTGAATCCGTTGAAATAGTTCAATTTATTCGAATTTTAGTATTGATAGATATGAATTCTTCACCTTGACCTTTTCCAGGCTCAAGTGGATCCGGAGCAGTGCTCATTGGCCGATCTGGTTGCCCCTGGGGACCCGATGGAGGACTTGATAGAGCAACAGATGGCCGAGAGCTACAGCAAAACACATGTGCAAGAGAGAAATCCTTTCGTGAGCGACGTCCCACAGCTATGGAAGAAAAGTGAGTTTATCGATAATAAGTTAGTATTCATAAACAGACAGAATTACTATAGTCTCTTCGGATTCCGTCCTTTAATTGGTTCATTTCCAAAATCAGGACCTCAAAGAAGGCTTGTACAGTATCCAATGTGGTATCATATAACTTTTTTGTGGCTCTTCGTATACGATAGGTGATTCAGACTGCGTTGTGGATAAAGAAATAAGTCGCTCTCACTAACTCTAACATCAAATTGATCAGATTTAATTTTTTAAAACCATATATTGCCTTTTATTGTCCTAATTTTGATGCTCAATTTCAATCAGACCAAAAAAATTGACCAACGTTAGCCCAACTTTTAAACAATCCAAAAAAAGTTCATTTTGTTCCTACCACCCTCCTAGATTGAGCATTTTTCACGCAAAGTCAAGTACCTTAAAAACCGCTCCTAAGGCATCAACTGTGAAAATCATATGAACTCGCGAAAAGAAATTTGAAAAAAACTTCTCTCAATATTTTCTTTTTTGTTTTGCTCTAGTTATTGTGGTTTGTACACTACTGTTTGCACAGTCACCGGCTCTACTCGTTGTTGTTGCGTCTTTCGAGAAAGTCCGTAAGATTTATGCTAAAGGTGGTTTTTTATTCAGTCAATTTTCGACTATTTAACAAAGTTTTTGACGAATTTTTTTATTAAACCATCTACAAAATATTGCCTGTGATCATTTTTTCTTAAAATAAGAGTGTTTGAAATTTGCTAATTTGGCAAAATTTGGAGGATTAAAGTGCGATAAATTGAGTTTTTATCTCACGCGTAAGCGGCAAGTTAATGCGTTTCAAATTGAATTGAGGCCAGCAGTTTAGTCCTTGTACCATACTGAACTTTGACGTTTAACTTATTCAGTGAAAATTTCATTGTCTGTTGTTCATAATTTAGCTAGAAATACTCACAGCTAAATTCTACCATCGTTACCAGATGCATAAATTCTTAAATGGAACACTTTTCAATCCCGTTTTCAATAACATCATGGGACGTCGGACGAAGTAACAACACGCATTCGAAATTTATATGAAAACAAGACTGGTCATATGTCATATATCAGGGCAAAACCCTGAATGTTCCTACTACACTTAAGGCCAATTGAAAAGTTTTTTTTTGGTTGAATAATTGACAAAAATAATTGAGAAAAAAAGTTATTTTTTCTTCATTTTATCCCCCGGCACGCTACGTTAATTTTTAAGGTGTCATTAGCGTCTCGTATTGTGATAATAGGATTAAATTGCAGGCCTCAATTCAATTTGGAACGCATTAATTTGCTTCTTACGCGTGTTATAAGTACGCAATGTATCGCACTTTAATTATCCCCAACTGGCCAATTTAGCAATTTTCAAACGCCCATAGCTTTGCAAAAAAATGATCACAGTTGAAATTTCTTTTATAATGTGAGCTTAGGATAGGAATATTTTTCAGATGGTATAAAAAATTTGTCGAAAATGCTTAGTTAACAAGTCGAAAATTGACTGAGTAAAAAATCCACACCAAGCATAAATATTCCGCACTTTCTTCCATAGTCGGAACAATAAGCTCAATTACAGTGCAATATCTTTGATATGCGAGAGTTTTTTTACTTTTGCTCAGCGAGTGTATTAGTAGGCACCTTCTTTTTTTTACATTTGCGAAGCGAGTGTATTAGTACGAACCTTTTTTTCCAAGCTATGTCGCAAATATGGGTGCGGCACCCCAATAATGGTAGGAAACCTTTACAGCTTTTTTTATAGCATATGCTCTGACATTAGAATTGTAATAAGTTAACACAGTTGATGCATTTTTAAATCATCAAACGAAACGAAAAAAGTTATGTTGTTTCAAACAATATAACAGTAATGACAATTCGATTTCAGAAATTTTCCAACTCAATATATCTTGCAATTTTTTGAATTGCTTAATTTATACATAATGTGGCTTTATGCTTTGCAATTTGTTACTTGCAAAATTAGTGTGGATGCCTTCAGTTTGTTATATTCCAAATTATTACATGCAAAATTGAGTCTCTTTATATTTGGTGCCACTTTTGCTGAATGGCTTGGCAAGTTATCAGCATATCTAGCTGCTTTATTCGTGATCAGAGTTTGTCGTTTGTTAAGCTTGTGTGGCTGAGTGGATAGTTTGTGAGACTCAAAATCTCTTGATTGCATTAGGTCGCTGATTCGAAGCCTACACGTAGCCCAGTTTTTGCTAAAATCGGAGGCCTATTTCTACTTTTTCTGATTTCACTTGATAGAGCTGCTTTTTGGTTGTGTTCTCGCAAGTGTTTGCGTAGCGCAGCTTCGCCTCTGTGTAAAACAATACGAGACGCTAAACACAAACTTTGTATTTTGCATAGCGTGTGGGCTGATAAAATGAAGGAAAAAATAGAGAAAAAGGAACATTCCGGGCTTCGCTCTGATTCACGGGTAGTCTTGTTCATAAACTATGATGAATGAACGCGTATGTTTTGTTTGTTTGCGCAATTAATTTGGAGGTGGAATTTGCCTCGATTTAGCTTGCTCTTATTAACGCAGAAAATTTTAACACGGGTTACTTATTCTTCAAAGAACCAAATACGTTTCAAGTATATTTTTGTTCAGATTGATCTCTTTGTGGTTGATTGTAGTTTCCAATTGAAAGAGTTTGCTTCTAATTATCGATAGTTGTATGCTTTTCGTCTTCTTGAAATTTACGACTAGGTTCATAAACTGATCAGCATATGCCCAATAAAACTTCTGAAAACACATTTGTAAATCTTGTTAGACGTAAATATAAACAAGTTTTCATAGCAGTATATTCTTTGGTTTGATTAGGCGCCACAATAAAATCGGACAATGGCGAAGAAAAAGAACTGATGAAGATAATAGATGACAACTTCGATACAACTGACCTGGACAAATGCTGGACCATAGGTTACCAAAACTCAACCGTCGTCATCAACTTCAACCAGGTGCTGATGATACAAAAACTGGTCCTGTACACTGGCAACATAAACCTGGGTAAGAGCGTCACATGTTTTTTATTCCCTCTCTCATAAAAAAGTGCATTGAAAATTATTTTATTGTTACAACTGTTGAAATTTGTCCTTGATAATGTAACACGAATAATATGTAAGCGAAGTGCTCAGAGGGAATGTGGATTCGATTCTCATTCAGTCATTTATGATGCCAGTTGCACCCTCCTGCCCCTAATTGAACCATCATTCAAGAATAAAAACCCAGTGTGACAGTTGACCAGATAGAAGTAAAGTACTGCAGATTCAGTTCCAAATTAAACTGGACGCTATGATTGAATTATGCAATCAACCAGAATCAGGTGTATTAACCGGAAAGTGTGGTCTAGGTAGAGACGAGAAAGAATTCTGGAAGAATATGGGTAGTACGAGATGAATGATTAATTCCTGATTTTTAATCAGACATTTTAGTCTCCATCAAAGTGCAATATTTACCGTATTATTTGGCTAGTCAATGAGTTTCCGGAAATTTATAATTCCTGGAAATTTGTTTTTCGATTTTATGTTCAAATTGCCAGACAGGAATGAGGGACGGAAATGCCTTCCGCCTGTCTCCCTCTGGTTATATTAAATAAATTCTGCCTGTTTTAAGTAGATTCGAAAATTCAGGCGGTGGATTTAAGATTTTGGTTGGGATCAGTGTTGTTTTTTTTTAAAAATCGATCAAATTTACTTTCTGAAACCTCATAATTTATGAAAAAGAACTCATTTGTGGCTTAGTTCTTTTGCTTTGGATTTAAAAAGGCACGAAAATGTCTTTTTTGGTATGTTTTGGAAACTTCTTTTATTCTCGCGCCCCTTAAGTTGAGCTTTTACTGCTCTACAGGCACTTTTTCCTCGCATTTATATGATCATTGCCTCGAGGAAAGTGAATTACCAGGGTTTGTGCTCTAACGTTCTATCTGATTATCAAAAACAGTTCTCCGCAGCACGTTAATAACGAACGCAGTAATATATTTTTTTTTCATCTGAGACGGATAAAAGTCGGATTTTTGTGCATCAGTTTTAGTAATTTTGTTTTTCACTCTGAAAGTAGTTTCTTGAGTTTTGGTGGTAAATTTTGGTGCTCCTGATTCGTTGGAGAATCTGGCTCATGATTTCATATCATTCAAACTGTTTTTAAGTGTTTATAAACACCTGAGAGTGGAGGGAATTGCACAGCTGTCCACACCTGCTCTTAACCCCTGTTATTAAGAGTAACGAACGTAGTGAAGACTCTTATATAGGTCTTGCTGATTTTTTTTTGTTTTTTTTTTCAGGAAAAAGTCTTAAAATTTGTTCACGCTCAATTTTGGTTTTTCGCGGTTTGACTTGTGATTTCTTTTTAAGTTCAGTGCATTTCTATTGTTAAAAGAAAGGCAAAGTCCATTATTGAACAGCAAAATTGTTAAGGTCACGAAAAATTAGTTCGACTTTAATTTTGAAAATGGAAATAAATTATCTGATTCCCCAGCGAAATAGAAGTTTTACATATTGATCCAGTTTTCTCAAATTGGGTTAATTTTTTATCAAAAAGTGTCAATCATAAATTGTTGTACGAATTCAAACAGCTTTACGGCCATCTACTTTTTTTATTCGAAATTCAAAAGTTGAAGATTCCTTTTTTTTCAGTTTCCTTCTTGCGTTCATTGCTCTTTTCCAACTGTCAGTTGGCTATGTTTGCTGTATTATATAGCGAAACCAATTTTGAAGCTATGTTGCTCACTTTTTTTATAGTTTAACTGTAGTTTTTTGGGGTTTTCATACCGCAAAAGCCATGTCCTCTGATTGGAGAAGAATTTTTTTGCTTTTTTTTCTAATCAATGGAGAACAGCAAGTGAAATTCGGCAAAATAAGCAGAGCTATCAAAATTAAGAAAATGCTATTTAGAAGTTTTACACCTCTGCTGATCTTATTTTTTTCCGATATCTTCACACGCAAAAACTGCAGTCCAACTTGACCTTGAAACTCGGAAATCATCTCGTAGTTAATGCATTTTTCTGAACAATATCTTGATTTGGGTATCTGCTTAAGCACTCGAGCCGTTTTTCGAATACGCTGTTTATCTATCTCTATATAATTATCGAGTAAGATGTTTTTCATTATCATAAGGCCTAATTGTTAAGAAATACCACCGGCGCAACTTTTAAGAAGGCTTAGATCAGAACATTCAGAGCAACCATCGAAAAGTTTAAAGTCTGGAATAGAATCATTTTTAAAAGAGTCCGGAACTCTATAAAACGGTTAATCCGATTCAACTACAAGGCTCGACAGTACCTGCCCACTTTTTGTCCAAAATTTTCTGTTAACAGATTTCTTTCATTCTGAAGCGAATCAATTAAAATCAGCATCTTCCATGCTTAGAAAATAAAATTTTAACAAACCCATTGGCGGTCTATGAAATAATTTTGATAGTTGGAATAGCTTGCTATAGTCTATGAAATAATATGAAATTTTTCAAATACTCATAGCTTGATTAGCTTGTTTGGAAAAAACTTATTGTAATTTGATTCGATCTATGAAATAATTTGATACATTTCATAGGTCGAATAGCTTGCTGAAGAAAAACTTGAAGTTTTCGTGAGCCGATTTGCTTCACGAAATATCTTGAAATATTTCAAAGTTTCATAGCTGAAAAACTTTCATAGAAACACTTAAACTTTTCGCCATCCGTTTCGGTTGATGGATTAACTTGAAATTTTTCAAACTTTCATAGCTTGAATAGCTTGTTTTGAAAACCTTTAAATTTTTGCAACTTGATACGCTGTATGAAATAACTTGAATTATTCAAAAGTTTCATTGCTTAAATAGGTTGCTAAGAAACACTAAATTGATTCGCTATAAGAAACGAAATAATATTTTCAGAGTTCCCTTGCTTTAATAGCTTGCATAGGAAAAATATAACTTATCGCGAAACGATTCGGTTTAAGAAACTCCTTGGATTTTTTCGAAGTTCTCAATCAGCTCGCTTAGAAAAACTAATTTTTCGCCAAATTTTTCAGTCTAAGAAGCATTCTTGAAATATTTCAAACTTTCATAGCGTAAACCGATTCAATCTATGAAGTAACTTGATAGAAATGTTTCTTGTGTTTGTTACAGTTTTGACATAGTATGAGGTTGATGCAGGCTCGTGTCGTTATCTGTTTTGCTTTTACTAAATTTGAAAAATCCAAATAAAAAACTTGTACGGTGATTATTACGCAGTTGTCTTTGTACCTTAAGGTCGGGGTTTCAAGTCCAGGTCGGACATTGTTTTTTATAGTTTATATGAAATTGAAATTTTTTTCTCCACGAAAAGTTAAATCGTCGGACTTTCGTTTGTCTGCTGATATTCTGTTGGCGTACTTGCCTTATCGTGGATTTTTCTCGTATTTCAACAATTCTCATCGTAGATGCAATTTTTTTGGTTTAATCATGTAATTTGTAAAATTAGTAGCTCTGTCGTTGTATACTTTCTTCCTGGTTTTTCTTCCTGTTTTTTTTCAAAAGTTAATTCGACTTATTTGTCATTGATTAGTTACCTTATTTTGTGTCGCTTCCAGCGCAATACAAACTCGAGTAGTTTGTATTGCAATGTTTCAAAGTTTTAAAACTTAAATGCTGGAAATTTCTTAATTGCAACACATTTTGTCATTTTTTTTCTTTATGGGTCAATGGTCGTCTAGTTATTGGTGTCGGCATAGTAGCCGCTCGGTAAAGGCTGAAAGCTTATTTAATAATGATGGTTGTGCTTTTCGGAAGTGCTTCTGAAATTATTTTTGTTTTCCCCATTTTTGTATAACCTCTGTGTAACCTTAAAAAACAGAATACTCAAGTGTTGTTTTTCTTTAATGTGGATGTTGGCTACTTCAAATGCAGCGGAAAAGCTTTCCAGCAGAGCGGAGTTTGTTCTCATTTGTTATCGAAAAATCAAATTGCTCTTACGTTTTGAAGGCAATTTTTTCCCTTGTGGTTAATTATTGCCATTGCGATAAGCAAGAATTTGGCAATCGGGTACTAGACTTTTTTCCCGTAAATAACTTTAGTCACAAAATGGTCAATTTTGTAGGAATGGTAAATTTCAGGACATGTTCTATTTCATGAAAATTCAATAAAACTACCTATTTTTTAGGTAGCAAATAGATGTATTTTGTTTCAGGAGTTGATTTTTTTTGAAATAGTTTTATCGATAATGTTGAATTTTATCTTTTGTTCGGGTTCGTGGTTTTCGGTCTAGTTTTTGTCAGTTCAATTTCCGTTTTTTAAAATTGAATTCAAATTATCTGGTACTGCTTGTTATCCGCTTATTTTGTCAAAATTGATATTATTGTGATTTTAGAATTTTTAACTAAAACTGAAAGTTTAAGTATTTAAAAGTTTTTTTTTCCGATTAAACGGTTTCGGCTTATGTTTTAGTGCAATAGTTGTAATTATTGCAATAATTGTAGTTATCTAAACAGAGATTGCAGTAATTGATTGTCAGCAAACAATATATTGTCAAAACAGAATTTACCACCCCTGATTCCCGCTATTGACGATTTCGTTATTCAGTGTCAATGAATGTAATTCAGACTTTTACATCGGTCGTGATATTTTTTTTGGCCCAGGAAAAGTTAAATTTGTCTCGGCTCGAATTTACTTTTTCTTAGTTTGACTTTTAATTTTTTTTATTAAGTAAGTTCAGTTAATTTTTTTTCTAAAAGGAAGGCGAATTTCACTATCGAACTCCACGTGATCGACTTCTCATTTCAAAAGTGGAGTTTAGTTGTCAGAGGTCCCAGCGAAGAAAAATTTACCGATTGATCCAGTTTTCTCAAATTGGGTTAATTATATCAAAAAGTGTCAACCATAAATTGTTCCAGAAAAGTAACAAGCTTCAATTTATGAGTTTTCAAGAAAAAACAGATGGCCTGAAACTTATTTGATTTCCTAGAAAAATTTAAGATTGACTTCGTTATGATAAATTTAACCCAATTTGAGAAAACTGGATCAATAAGTAAATGTCGCTATTTCAATAAACAACTCAGTATTTTTTTTCTTATTGCGTCCATTGACTTCATTTTTTGTTTGGAAAGAGCTATTTTGCTATATTTTTGGTATTCGCGGCAAGCAACTTCAAATCGGCCCCTGTGCTGAACTTTTTTTGCATACTAGAGAAGAATTGCTCAAATGATGGCTTTTGCGTTGGTAAATTAGGCTGTCTTGCTTGTCATATCTGTAAACCAGAGGATTGTCATAGTGATTGGGCTCAATTTATCGTATCTGAATCTGAAACAAAGCAAAAGGTAGACTGCCCACGAGGCTTAATCCTATCAGTCTCTCCTGTCTATCAATTTTGTCGTGTTCAGGAGCCAGTGGATTACGATTTGAATGGTTGAAGATTTCACAACTCTACATGAGGTAGATACGTCACGACGTGAAAGTTTTTTCAGCTAAACCTAGCATGGTTACTGTGTTTAATTAAATTAGGTACTGACAGTGATCAGCTAAGACCACTTGCAATTTTTAATGTCGTGCGTTCTTGGCATTCATTTACCTTAAACATACTATCTGAATTTGTTTATTTTGTCTGTGTCTTGAGTTTTACTTTAAGTGTCGCGATTGCTTTATCCCAATAGCTTTTACTTTAGGTTCCGTGCCTCCAAGAAGTTATAAGGAATGATTTTTGGAAGTAGTTTGGTTTTAATTTTTATTTACCTGTATTAAACGAGTCTGGCCTGGAGTATAAATCTAACCTTGTGTTTTGTCACTACAATTACTTGCAACTTATGTGGCGCATAAACGAAAGGTTGACCACTTCGAGCCTAAACAAAAATAATCAACAGCACTGATTTTGCGGGTAATATTCTTCAAAGATCGGAGCTTCCTGTAAATTTAATGGGAAATGTTCTCTTAAAAAAGAAACTTAGTTTTGTTTTGCTTGCATTGTCAACTGTTCCCTTAGGTTTATGACAACAAGCCTTTCCTAGAAACTATTTTATGAACCATGCGGCCCGAATATGAAAAAAACAAGCTTGAATTTTGGCCAGTTCCTATTCCGTTCACGGGTGCTAGATTTGGGTTGGGCTTTGTGATGCTCACAATTTTATTACATCAGTTCGGGGGGGGGGGGGGGGGGGGGAGGAGGTTTGGTCATTATTCAGAGGTGTGGGGTTGCGTAGAATAGAGTTTTAACGTTATTTTTGATGACATAAGAACGCTCGTAGGTGATCAATTTTCATTCGCCTGAAAAGGCATTTTCTTAGTCTCGAGAAGAACCCATCTGATATTTTTTTGTAATTCGACTAGGGGTGTGGATCTGACAGAGGAGTGGATTACTCTTTCGCTCACATTGTCCTCTTACAATTGTTTTTAGCTTTATCTAGGCTATTAATAACAAATTCTCTAAGCTTAACTTCTTCTTCTAGGACTCAAGAAAAGAACAGAAGACAATTTTTAGAGAGAAAAATGGCGATTGCCGATATTTTTAACCACAATATTGTGTTCGAATGTTTTTTTTCTGGCTACTTGCACAGCAACGGGTTACTCTTGTTTCTCTTTTAAGAAGTTGAAGCAAAACATGATTTATTCCCCAACTAGATCAAACAGTGCCTGTGGGTATTTCTTTTTGTTCGCTTCAATCCACTGGTCAAATTTCTGGCATTGCTCCTTAGAGAAATGATTTATCCAGTCGCCCGAAACGCCTTTACGTACAAAGTTGTCAATGCCGGGACATAATGTTGTCTTCTTCATTGTCTCTACATTTGTCTCTTGTTTAACCTGTGCTATGATTTTATCAGTGACTTCGATTTCTATGAATTTAGCAAGTCTGCGCACGTTTGTTTCAAAATCGTCTAACAATTTTTCGTAAGTTATAACCAGTGTTCGATTGGGGTTTGTGTTACAAAAGTCTAACCACTCGGCATTGTATTGACACCAATCGCCATTCATAACACAGCCTTCAAGAAACATGTCGAAATAAGTATCGAAATCGAACTTGAAATTGAGAGTGGAATCCCCCTTGTGGAAGTTGAAAAGACTTACTAAAATGTCCCTGGGGTTACGTAACACAAATAAAACTTTGCTTCTCTTGTGAACAGATTTTGGCGCAATGGAAAGAGGAACATGAGTTTTGATGAATCTAGGTACATCTTGTTTGATTGCTATTTCGTACCCCGAATAATTCAGATTACAAGAGTGATAGTAGTCGAAATTAAGATCCAGATGCGGAAATTTTGCAAATAAGTTGAAGTTTTCAGTTGAAATTGCATCGGAGCCATGTTTTAGGCCAGAAATAATGCGTTGCGTGAAAGTAGTGCCGCTTCGGGGGTATGTTGCAAGTAAGAGGTCACGAGAGTCAAGAGGAAAATCAGGAATTTTCTGCATGTATTCTCGGCCATAGAATGGGTACATGAGAAACCCATTTGCAAGATATTCACCATCAATTTTATCAAAACGGTGCGTGCTTTCTGTAACTTGAACGGCCATTGCTTATTGTAAATTCAAATTGTTATCTTGGTTACATATTTGAGAAATTTCTTATCAATGAATAAAGTACAGCTTCAACACAGCTTCAAACAGCTTTATTAAACACTATTCAAAACGCAGTTTTTTGCATTGTTGATCTCATGCCAACAAAGCGCTTTGAAGTCACAAGTTGACGCCTCTATTTTGAAAGAAAAAATACTTTAAACTAATAAGCGAGCTATGAACTCATGTCAACAAAATGTAGTAAAAGCGTGTTTTGCACTCGGAATGGTTTATATTTCTCCTTATTTTTTCCTGTGTTCTGATGTTTTCCCTTGTGTTGACAATTTAACAACAAAACTGCATGATTTCTTTTTGCAAAATAGTCTATGAACCTGTAGCGTGCCGAGAGGGGGGGGGGGGGGGGGTTTGCGACATATTTTAGTTCCAAGGTCAATATTTAGCTAGCTAGGGGGTTTATTTTCAATGCTAAAGACGCACCGATACCATCTTTATTTTGCAATGGCAACCTCTCCGGCGTCATAACAAGACCGCTGCAAATGTATATTTTGTTGCAGGAAGTTTCAAGCACTATAGTATTTTTTCTTGGTCATAAAACGGTTTAGTGGCAAAAACTGGCTGAAACAAAATTCACGGTCCTTGGTTATCAATAACAAAAACATGACACTACAACAACTAAAGCTCAGGGGTACAGCAGAAAGAAATGTTCAGTCTTTTTGAAGCCGCGTGAAGTGCAAAGTGTTTATACTTTGGTATGTTTTCTTTTATTTCGAAAAGCTACAGTATGGAATATTATGACCAGCCGTTGCTCGAGCTTCATAAATTTTCTGAGTGAAATTAAATCTACTGAAGCGATTGTGTCTAGACATCGAAACTATAATGAAATTTTTCATTAATAAAAAGAGATAAGTCAGTTTCCTTTTTTTTAACGAAAAATTTAATTTGTTCGGTTTAATTGTTCTGGGTGAACTGTTCTTCAAAGCAATTTCTCTTGTTTACACAAGCAAAGCTTGTATTACTGTATTAACTCTCTTTTTTCCAACCTAAGTCGCAAATATTGTTGCGACGCAAATATTGTTGCGACAAAATGTGTTCATTTTGAAAGTGTTCTTTTTGATCAATAACCAGCTATGAAGTACAGCCATTGATATTAACACAGACTATTATATTTTAAATAGCATTATATTTTCAAGGTATCATGGATCTGTAGCGTAGAGGTAAAGAAGGAGACCCGCAATAAAACAAGAGGGTTCGAACCTGGGAAGGGTCGGATGTTTTTAATGAACTTTTTCGTATACTAGTTAAAATGGGTCTGCTCTATAAATTGAAACCGGTTAGTTGGTAAGTTTTTTTTCGAATTGACTGGTACTACTAGTGCGTCATAATTGGTCACTTAGTAATTATGTAGACTCATATGCGTGTGTCATTTAAGAAACTTTGTAGACTCAAAGTTTTACTTATTCAGTTTTTCCGAGTAGAGTTATCGGTCATATTTTTGCTTGTGTATGCGAAGTGCAACTTCGCCTCTGTGCAAAAGAATGTTGTTACCTTCTGTGTGTGCAATTCTATTTTTCCGTTGACTTTGTTGCTAAGTTTTTTTAACAAATTCTGAATTTTCCTCAAAAAATGTTGCTCCTATTGTGATTCGGTCGGCTCAATTTCTGAAAATAATTTTTTTCTTGAGTCCACCGGAAATTTCGTGTATCAGGGTCTTGTGTAATTTCTCCTAATATAATTAAGATGATTTTAATTGTTTAAGAAATTTTTACACATTTTTTGACAAAAAGTGTTTGATTTTTTTTGTAAATACAAGCGTTATCAAATCGGAATATAGATTTATTTTTTCAAGTTAACAATTAGTATTACAAAATCACTTGAAACATTCGTGATTATCAGTTGGCATAAATGTTCTGATGGAATGTCTGGCCTTCAGATATTTTGGAGCTTTTCTGCATTTAAATCGCCTCTCTATTTTTTTGTTGGTTTATGGCTCAAAGTTTTTGTTTTTATTTTGGATCAACAGTCGTTCACCTAAAATTGTCTGCGTTGTTATCACTTGATATTTTGATAACTTTTATTTTTATCACGGGGAATTGTGTTTATCTGCGACTTCATTCAAATGAAACCGTATTCGAGATAAACATTTAAAAAAAAAATTAATTTTGGCTAGCTGCATTACTATTTTTGTGCTTTATCACAATTGATATGGAGCTCCGCTTCGCTTCTGTGTTTTGGTAGGAGCGTTTTTGGGCGTCATACACAGCAAACGACGACTATTGTTTCATTTTGAGCGTTAAAGAAGAAAGATAATGTTGACTCATTAAGGTCGAGTTTTTTTGAAGGAAGTTTCTGAGTTACATGCTCAAAATTATTTTTGTTGTAGTTTTGATTTTTGTCAAATAAAATTCTAATTATGCTCTTCAATTTTAAAAATAGAAAGCGCAAATAACGTGACTCTCAGTTTCAAAACGGACTATGAGTTTCTAGTGGAACGCAAACTTTGAGGTGATCCAGCTTTTTCAGATTGACATAATTTTTATATTGTTATTTTGCGTATTTGTGAAGTTTGCTGTTCAAATGATTTCCTGAATAGTAGGACAGACTGCTCTCTGCAAGAACAGATTTGTAAACTGTTTTATAGTAATTAAAAGTTGATAAACGTAGTGAAGACTCTTATACATGTAGTGATGATTTTTTCCCCAAAAACTCAAGGTTTATTCTGGCTCAAGTTTGATTTTTCGCAGTTTGACTTCTTTTTCGAATTCTTGGTTTATTTGTAAGTTCATTGCAGTTTTTTGTGCTAAACTGAAGGAAAACTCCACTATCGAGCAGCAAAAGTGTGAAGTTCACGAAAAAAATCATTGACGTCTAATTTTCAAAAATGGACAAATTCCCAGCAGATTAGAGAATTTTTTTTGATCCAGTTCTCTCTATCTAGAATAATTTTGAGTAAAAATTGCCAGTCGTAAACAATTTTCAAAGAAATCTTTTGTGAGATTTGTTTTGCCTTTGCGGTAAGCAAGGGTAGTACAACATGGTACCAGACTTTCTTTTCCCCTAAACAACTTTGTCCACAGAATTCGCACGTGAATTCGTTCGTATTTTTCTGTAGAGGTAAATTTGCAGATTAGTCCGAATTAGGTTAGGTATGCGCCTTGTGTGATTGTTATGAATTCCTTTAATAGTATATGTGTCAAAATTTTTGGTTTTTTAGGCACTTGAGTGTCGGCTTTAATTCCGTCGGCTCATTTTCCTAATAGTTTTTTTTTCAATTACTTTTTTTTTGGTTTTCAAAGAGTAGTGTAAGTCTCACAAAATGTTTCGGACAAATCCAAATCATCTTCCCAAATCCTTTCTAAAAAATTAAAATTTTTGAAAGTGGAAAAAAAATTTAAAATGTTCGATTTTTTTTTGAAGTTTTTTCAAAAAAAAATTAGAATTTTTTCAACGTTTTTGTTTTCAAATTGCGAAAAGTTTTTAGTTTTAACCTTTCATGCTTTTGTTTGTTTAATCAGCTTTTTTACCATATTTTTTTCTGGTGTAGGTTTCGCAATTTTTTGTTTACTTTTCTGTTAAGTTTTCTTCAACAATTGAAAATTGTCTCATTACTTTTTAGCCCATTTTGTTTTAAAAATTAGCTGTTTCAATTAAAAATGGAAACCAAGCAAGGCTGAATTGCCAGCAAATCGGATTCAATTAAATTCAAAAATTCTGTTAATTTCAAATAAAATTGCTAGTCAATTTCATCGTTTTGCAAAGTCAATTTGAGTTGCCGCTTGCTTATTTTTGTTCCTCCAGTTTTGCCAAGTTTCATGTGCTAGGATGGTAGAAATGGGACCAAGAAAGCTTGAAGGGATATCAAATCAGAAATTTTTAAAATCAAAAATTTAGATAGTTTTTTTTCAGAATCGCTAGACGAATTTATCATTTTTCCTTTTTTTTTGTTCGCCAATTAAAAATTGTAATTTTTTCTCACGTTTAAATAATTTTGATCTGTTTTTGAGCTACATCTTTTTTATAATAGTTCAATGGCTGATTTTTTGATCTCTTGGTAAACCATTTTTTCACTTAACTTGTTGCTCTTCTCTGATAGGTTTTTTTTCGGAAATTTATCTTTTTTGTTCGCTAATATAAAAATTGTATGGTTTTTTTTCTCACTTTTAAATAATTTTGAAATGTTTTTGGGCTCAATCTTTTTGGAAAATAGTTCAATGTCTGATGTTTTTCTTTGAAATTTGGTTTTTTGTATGATTTTTTTGCTAAACCGTTTTTTCAGTAAACTTGTTGGTCTTCTCTGATCTTTTTTTGTGAAAGTTTTCTTTTTTGTTCGCAAATTAAAAAAAATTATATGATTTTTTTCTCACGTTAAGTTAATTTCGATCTGTTTTTGGGCTATCTCTTTAGTTCAATGGCTGGTGTTTTTTTTCGAAAAATTGTATTTTTGTTTGGTTTTTATTAATAAACTTATTCCGTTTTTTTTTTTCAGTAAACCGTTTTTTTAGTAAATTTATTGGTCTTCTCTGATTTTTTTTAGAAATGAAAATTGGCGTTTGTTTCCACTTCATAACTGTTCAAAGTCCTTCGATTTTTCTTAAACAAAGTTTAGTTCTTGTTTTTTTTTTGCTCCAATAGTTTTTTTATATACTTTTTGTTGAACTCATAAAAAATAAGTTTTTATTTTTTGAATTGTTTTGGAATTGATTTTCGAAAGTTTTCAAAAAAAAATTAGAATTTTTTCAACGTTTTTGTTTTCAAATTGCGAAAAGTTTTTAGTTTCAACCTTTCATGCTTTTGTTTGTTTAATCAGCTTTTTTACCATATTTTTTTCTGGTGTAGGTTTCGCAATTTTTTGTTTACTTTTCTGTTAAGTTTTCTTCAACAATTGAAAATTGTCTCATTACTTTTTAGCCCATTTTGTTTTAAAAATTAGCTGTTTCAATTAAAAATGGAAACCAAGCAAGGCTGAATTGCCAGCAAATCGGATTCAATTAAATTCAAAAATTCTGTTAATTTCAAATAAAATTGCTAGTCAATTTCATCGTTTTGCAAAGTCAATTTGAGTTGCCGCTTGCTTATTTTTGTTCCTCCAGTTTTGCCAAGTTTCATGTGATAGGATGGTAGAAATGGGACCAAGAAAGCTTGAAGGGATATCAAATCAGAAATTTTTAAAATCAAAAATTTAGATAGTTTTTTTTCAGAATCGCTAGACGAATTTATCATTTTTCCTTTTTTTTTGTTCGCCAATTAAAAATTGTAATTTTTTCTCACGTTTAAATAATTTTGATCTGTTTTTGAGCTACATCTTTTTTATAATACTTCAATGGCTGATTTTTTGATCTCTTGGTAAACCATTTTTTCACTTAACTTGTTGCTCTTCTCTGATAGGTTTTTTTTCGGAAATTTATCTTTTTTGTTCGCTAATATAAAAATTTTATGGTTTTTTTTCTCACTTTTAAATAATTTTGAAATGTTTTTGGGCTCCATCTTTTTGGAAAATAGTTCAATGTCTGATGTTTTTCTTTGAAATTTGGTTTTTTGTATGATTTTTTTGCTAAACCGTTTTTTCAGTAAACTTGTTGGTCTTCTCTGATCTTTTTTTGTGAAAGTTTTCTTTTTTGTTCGCTAATTAAAAAAAATTATATGATTTTTTTCTCACGTTAAGTTAATTTCGATCTGTTTTTGGGCTATCTCTTTAGTTCAATGGCTGGTGTTTTTATTCGAAAAATTGTATTTTTGTTTGGTTTTTATTAATAAACTTATTCCGTTTTTTTTTTTTCAGTAAACCGTTTTTTTAGTAAACTTATTGGTCTTCTCTGATTTTTTTTAGAAATGAAAATTGGCGTTTGTTTCTACTTCATAACTGTTCAAAGTCCTTCGATTTTTCTTAAACAAAGTTTAGTTCTTGTTTTTTTTTTTGCTCCAATAGTTTTTTTTTATATACTTTTTGTTGAACTCATAAAAAATAAGTTTTTATTTTTTGAATTGTTTTGGAATTGATTTTCGAAAGTTTTGCGAAACTTTGCATTGTCATTTGTGTTTTTTAAGAATGGTTTTAAGTTTTTTCCGATCATTTTTGTTGTTTTTTTAACTAATTTGTCTAGGCTTCTGAAAAATTGAATATTGTTGTTGGGTTTTTATGTCTTTCATTTACTAATTTAAAAAGTTACCAGAGTTAGTGGTTTTTGGTTCTTTCGTCAATGCAGTTTACCAATGCAGTTTACCCATGGTTTGATGGCTTGTTCTCGGAATACTTCGATGCATTGCAGGCAGGCTCCAAAAGTATGTTGGAAGTAGGCTTATTTGTTGCTTATTGTTCCGACGTTCGATACGAAAGTAACGGAATATTTGTGCTCGGGGTGGTTTTTTTTTCTTCAGACAAATTTTGACTTTTTATCTAGCCATTTTTGACGGAATTTTTTTTATATCATTCAAAAAGTATTGTTCTCCTCAGCTCAAATTTGAAAAGATATTTCACCTGTGATAATTTTTCGTAAAGTTGAGGGGTTTTAAGATTGCCATTTTGGCCAATTTGGGACAATTAACGCGCGATATATTTCGCGCTATTAACGCGTAAGCGGAGAGTTAATCCGTATTAAAATTGTTCCAAATTTGTTGAAAGAAACTTATTTGCCATAATTGATTTGTTACAAGGAGCTAAATCTATCTTTTTGTACTTTAAATTGTGTGTGGGGGATGATTTTCATAAAAAATTTCAAATTTAAATTTTTTTTTTTTTCATTTATTTTTTGTAATGTTATTACTGCTCCATAAAACCTTAAAAGGCAGTCAGAACATTCAGGGCTTCGCCCTGATACGAGCTGTCTTGCATCTTTTTAAAAACTGTTTTAGCAAAAATTTTGTTATGTAATTTTTTGATAATTTTTTCTTGACTTACAATTTTTTTATCGCAAGTGGTGCGAAGCTGTGCTTCGCATCACTTGCAATGCATAAATTATAAATCAAGAAAAAAAATATCAGAAACTCAGATAACAAAGCTCTGCTTCGCATCTTAGTCGAAATCTTTTTTTTTTCGGTTACCTTGTTCTGATATACTTTCACACTGTTCTTAAGGTATGTTCGTTTTTTCAACGCCGTTGGCTATGGTTTGTTTTATATTCCGCAGATTTTTGTCCCATTAAATTTTACTAAAAAAACACTGTTGTCACCAGAAATCAAAAATCTAGTCTGTAACCTATCTTACTCTGTAGAACTGAATTCAGAAGAAAATGAAGAAAAGTTCTAATCTGTGAAATTTGTTGAGTACAATGAGAGGGCTATATCTCATAGTACTCAACAAATTTCACAGATTAGAACTTTAACCGTTTCAGAATTCCTGACCTTTTTTTCCAGAAAAATTAAAATCATAAATTTATTTTAAGTTTTTGAGTGTCATTGGGAAGTTAATGTCATAAATTGTTTTGAGTTTTGAAAAGCAAAAGTGTAAATTTTCTAAGCGTTAAATTGCCGTCTTTTTTTTGAAATCTTTCAATTAAGTTCTTCTTATTATTTTCTTAGCAAATAATTTCAAAGGTATTCTACGCCTCTTTTGTTGCATATCATAATTGTCACATATGTTTTGTAAGTTGTAAATGTTAAAGAAGAAGTGAACTGCGTTTTTTTTAGTTTCAATTGTTTTACTTGAAAGTTTTTAATGCTCATTTTCCAATTCAGTGATTTTAGTTTTGAAATTCGTTTTTTTATTTAACAAATGAAGCTCACCGATTACATTAATAGGAATTAAACAAATGATTTCTGAATTGCAGCGGAAAAAATTGTTTCCGCCAATGATTTATCTGGTTGTTCTCTGGAAAGGAAATGCAGTTTGCTCTTCAATTTTAAAATTTAACTCCTTAAAAAAGACGCAGATTTTTTCGCCAAATACTGATTGTCTGTTTTTGTTGCAGACCCTGAGGCATTCACTGTAATTCCATTGGAGACCCTGGACAGCAGCATAATCCGGGAGAAAGAAAAACGTCTAAAGTATGCCATGGTACCCAAAAGGAAGAAGGATGGGAGCTACGTGTTAGACCTGGAGACCAATATTCGCAGTGTAAGGAAGTCACAAATTGAAAAGAAATTGATCTCTTCTAGAATTTATTTGCTAACTCTACATTTGGTGTCATTTTGCGAAAATTTGTTGAGCAAATAGATGTAACCGAAAACATTTCTAGGCCTACTGAGCATACACGATCTTTTAAACAGATATTTTTACAAGATTAAGGATAAATTGCAGGGATCAATTCGATAAAATAACTTGAGAGATGAACGGTGTAAACTAGTGCCAATGTTTTAAGATTCATAAGGCATTGAAATGAGAAGTTTCGTTCAGTTATTTTTTAGCTGGCATGAAAGGCAATGGTGGAATACTTTCATCTAAACCGACTGAACTTCCGTTACCTCTATTTTCTTCAAGTCTTTTTCCTGCCACAATATCCCATCCAACGAAATCAAAATCTGTAGCCTTTAAGTAATAACTTGAGTAATGTGTTTAAAATATCAGGGTAGCCGGTTTTTGAGCCAAGTGGCAAAATGTTCCGACCATTCGTTTAAAAAGTATAAAAACTTTTTGTGCGTGTTGTGATGAGAAAATTAACCGAATGCGTATATAGGTGGTGAATTAGGCATAATCAGCAATAGTTGTTTTCGAATAACAAACAAGACAAAAAAATATATAATTTTTTGCAGAATTCTGATTTTTGAAAAAAATATAGCCAAGGAAACACTGAAACTAAGTTTTTCACATTGAAAATTGGTTATTCAGAAGACTTTATTGCTCGTAATTAGACTAGAACTGAAAATTTGCAAACATGTTTTTCTCGACACATGAAAGTTTTTTGGAAATTTTTCTGATGTGCAAATTAATACTGAAAGGGGATTTCATGATGAAAAACACATCCGATTACAGAGTTCCTTCCCATTTTCAATGGTCTGAAAAGCACTGATAGCCGGTTGATGTACAAGTAGCATAGAATGTTCGATCAATTTGATTTTGAAAAAAAAATTCAAAAATAAGATTTTTTATTAACAAAAAATTATAAGGTTGATTTTTGCACTTTTTGTTGTGTAAGTATCCTGTTATTTTTTTCTCTTGAAAACGCTGTCGGGAGGTCAGCTTCTCTGCAAATCTCGTCTAATTTAGTCTGAAAGTCGACAATATTCAAACTAATTCTCATGACACTGTGACGATTCTTCTGATTTTTTTTTAGAATCCGAAACATTTCCAAAAGGGATTTATTATGATACCACACTTGACCAGCTACTGGCTTTTCTTGAGTGAGTCAAAAATGGTGGAAAGAAATATTTAGAAAAGACAGACCCCATTATATAGTTCCTTTCCTATCTCCGAGAGTGGTCGGAACTCTAACATAATCGTGCCAAATAAATGGTCTTAGATAATTTTGGTTTCCACTGGCGACGAATATTTTCCAGTCAAATACGTTTGTATCTTATTTGACTTTTTCGTCGACGAAGTGGGATTCACCTTTAAAAAGGACTGAATTGGTTAGACTTGAATTCAGGGGCGCATCTCGGGCGAAAGTTCTGACGACCTTTTTTTTTTAGGTCGACCAAATTGATTTTCTGAGCTCTCCTAGAGCACAAAAAAGACGCTGTTTTGTCCAAATTTTCTGCGCCGCAGGCAAATTTTGGAAAATTTCGTCACAAAAATTGATTTTTTTTGGCGCGCGCTCCCTCTCAAAATTAGTATATATTGGCGCCAAAGGCGACTTTTAGAAAAATTTTAGGGTCGGTAGGCCAAAAATGGATTTCTTAAAAAGTACCAAAGGGGGGTCTCTTTGGGTCGGCAGGGGGTCGAATCCTTGAGGGGGGGGGGGGGGGGGTGTCCGCCCCCCGCGTAAATCGGCCCCTGCTTGAATTGTATTCTGGGCTTCTGATTGTTCCAAAAATGAACTTATGTACAGACGATGATTTTTATTTCGTTGGTGTCGGACTTGCTTTCGTTGTGCACGTTTTTTTTTACTTTTAGTTGCTCTTCAATTAGTTCCTGAATTGTATTCCCTCACCATTTGATATTTTTAGCTACCGGTAAGTTCGCTCTGAGATAACAGGTGTAACTTTGCCTATGTGATACACCAATTTGCGTACTAAACTGTCTTCTACTGGTAAATACTGACATTAAATTTGCGCTAAAACTAATTTAATTACCTTAACAGCAAAAAACACCGATTTATAGCAAACTAGCATTTCAATGCTGTTCATACTACTTAGTCAGGATACCACTTGGTCCGATTTGCATTTTGGCAAAGAGTAGATAGATTTTTTGTTATTTTTACAAAAGGATTACTTAATACCCAGATGGCAGACAGAGGTTAGGTTTCTAGGTCTAAAAACATATCTGACCAATCGGTATCCCTGCACCGTAACATACACTAGTAGCTATGCACATAAAGACTGCTACTACTTGTGTACAGCTTCGCAACTGATACTCAATGTGAGCTGTTGACCAGTTTCATTGTCATATTCCTTTTATAACTCCAAAAGGATTTTCATAACTGCGACAAGCTTGAATGCGTTCCCGCGGGTATCGGAAATAGGGTGGTTTTATCGGATAAATTTAAATAGTTACATGTAGTTTAAGATCTGAAGTACTTGCTATCTACTCTATTTTTTCCCTGTTTCAAGTGTTATAGGTTGAAAAATACTCCTTATACTGATAGGTTATCATAAGTTATCGATAAATATGGTTTTTAAATTTGCATCTCAGCTGGCCTGATAGCTCTTTTGATTTTCAACCCCCTGGCTATTAATTATGTACCAGACTGTTAACAAAAGAACGCAATGGATTCCCTCAAATATGTCGTTAAAAAGTGCTGATCAATTATGGTAATGGCCCTCTGAATCTTGAAGATAGACAGGTAATCTCTGCTCAGAGCTCATCATTAATTCAGCATTTTGAAGTGCACCGAAAATGAAATTGTTTGTTTTTGCAGGCGATGTATTGTTTTTGAAAACTGAAAGCTACTTTGGCATTTGCGTTGATCAAATAACGAATTGGTTTTGCCTTTTGCGTGGTATTTGTTTGGCTTTGTCTGTCTCTAACTACCGTGTTTTGGCCAATTTATTTGATTCAAACTTTTTATCAAAAAATATGAAGCTTAGGACTGAAAAAGAAGATATGAAGATAGAGAAGAAAACACTTTTGCTGACGTGTATCTGAATTTCTCTACGAAAACTGACACAGCTTGTTTTGATGATAGTTTCGGGATCTTTTTAAATAGGTTTCAAAAGGGAGTGCCTCATGCCAGAAGGTACGAATACCAGAATTTTACTTCAACCAATCAGAATTGGGTATTTAAATATTCGAACGAATTAGCCGGAAAAAGTCAGATTTAAACAGTACAAAGGACGAAAGAATTAAACATGCGAAAAAATTAAGCGTAAGATTCAGCCAGTTTTAGGACAGTTGAGTATTTTTGTGCAATCGGCAGTTCTGTTAAGCTAATAGCCCCCAAAACTTTATTATGTGCTGAACAAACATTTCAACCATCTGTACCATGTCGAATAATTCAAAAAACTGACCAATGCTATTCACTGCACATACTTAGGTGATGAATTTTCCGTCACGTCAGAATTGATTTCATGATATATAGCTATGAAAAGGAAACTGAGTTGATTTCTTTTGCAAAAAGTGCTCTCAACCTAATGAGTTGTTAATTTTTTTTGGTAACAATTTTTTTCGGCTCAACGGGTGTCCAAGTTTTGTTCCGATGCTAATTTAACCTTCAATTGTCTTATTTGGCATGTTTTCTCAGAATCAACTTTAATCAAGACAAATTGAGAGAATAGAGTGAAAGTTTTAGATCTTAATTTTTTCATTGTTGTGTCAAAATTCCGGCAATTGTCAATACTCTTAGAAATTTTTGATCTACGATTTTGCGATTGCACCGTTTTTGGTGATACGAACTGAAAAATTCAAGGTGTTGTTGTCGCGCAAATGCCTCCAAATTAAGAAACGAGCTCCAAAAATATATTTGCTTAAATTTTTCCAGTAAGTGTCGAAAAATTACATTATGACCCTAATTCAGCAAACATGTCTTGTGACTCAAGAATCTTTGGCTGTATAAGATCTTCCATTATTTCAGATGAGCTCTTGAAATTAATAGTCGATCAAATTATTTTCGAAAAATTCGCCTATATTACAGATTTGCGCTTGCCATTTTAGCTAAACTTGTTTTTATACATGTCAACCATTTAACGGAGTTTTCGTGGTCAGATAAAACATTTCTCCTTGTGTAATTTTCTACATTCCGTTTTTCCAGGAAAAATCAGGTATCACTAGGTTTTAAGTGAGTTTGTTTCATGTATCGTAATGAAACCTCTTTAACGCTTACGATTAGCAAGCAATATCAAATCAGAATAAAGACTTCTCTAATAATAAGTTCAATTTTCTTAGCTTCTCCGGAACATTTTGTCTAAAGGTACAGATTACGCCTGGGACGGCTTATGGCATAGGTTCAAATACGACAGGAACCTGTTTTTTTTTTATCTGGAAACATTTAGTTCCAAGAGTCACCGACTTCTTTTGTGCTGCAAACAATTTTCATTGTGGAACCGTTAATTTTTTCATTTCTGTTTGTTATTATTCTAGCTCTGATTTTGTATAATTTCTTTTTGTTTGTTTTATTTTCTAAAAGATTTCGGCCGTAATGGAAACATTTTTTTGTTTTAGGCTCAGTTAGCGTTTACTCAAGTTTTTTCGGCTTAGTTGCTGCTCGAAAAATGTTTTTGAATAATTATTCAACGCCGTTGGTTGTGTTGCTGGACGTGTTTTCCTCAAAACCTGCACAGGAAATGGCTGCTCTTGTTTCATTTTGATTCGCTTGGTTTTTCCTTTTTAACAGAAAAAATCAATCGATCTTTAGTTTTTTATCAATCCTGAAGGCGCTTCGAAGTTTCGACTCATTTCTTTTGACTAATGGTGCACATCAACAAAGCTTTATGACATCTCATTTAGGGTTTTTCCGACGCTTCTTCTCAAGAAGCAATAAAGCTGGAGGAAGTCAATAAAATTCAATTGGATTCATCTTTGATTTTTCCTGCCCTTATTGCAAAGGGGGAGGCTGATTGATCGCCGCTGTAAATCTGACTCTGAGTGATTAATCTGCTCTCAGACTACTGATCACCTGGCACATTTCGTCTGGGCTTTTCTTTGAAGATTTATTAACACAAGGTTGTAGGCGTAGGATGCTATCTTTTGAATCTGCGTTCCTTATCTACAATTTTTCATAAAGATAACACCATCATGACCGTATTTTCCTTCTATTTCAAGACATATTTATTTTCCTTAAGCGAATTTGAAAGTGATTTTTTTTTAAATATGGTGTGCAAACTTATTAGGTTAGTTCAAAAAATATTTAGATTGAAAGATGGGGTTTTAAATTTTTTTGCTTGGATAGTATTATTGCTCAACTTAAACAAAACTGCTGAGTTTTTTTCGAAAATCCCTCTCACGAAAGGTCAAATCCCATGTCTATACTATGAGAAATTCTTTGCGTTAAATTAGGATGTGCAATTTTTTAATAGGTAATTATTGAAGACAATTTATTTATTTCTTGGAAGAGCGTTGGGGATTCCGGATTAGTTTTATTGTAGTTGTAGATATATTTCCTCTCGAATGATTTTTAAAAGATGTACATACGGCCATGCATAAGGAAACTGAATCCTGTATTTGTTGCAATCCTTGGGGTTTTTTAAAGTGGAAAAAAATTACGCTTCTATAAAACGTGGTGTAGAAATTACTGTGAGAATGTCAATTGATGTTCAAATGATGCTCTTGATTTTATTTGTTGAAAATGCTTGGATCAAAAGATGCATTTAAAATAATTGTAAATGTTTCCGCGCTTAGTTTTACCCTGGTCGGTGTTAGCTGCTTCAGAATATATGTAGCGATGTTAGTAGCCTGCGATGTCAGGTCAGAACACTACTAATCAACTATGACCAATCAGCCTACTTCGTTTTAGACTCGAGTGTTCCAGTACCTGGAGATAGTGATGAAACCCTTTTCCAAGACAACACCGGGACGGATGGTGCTATGCGAGATTGATCTTCAATACTCCGGTATGCTTTGGATGAGCTAGAATCAGATTTTAGAAACAGGCCAAGTTGGCCGAAAAACAGCTTTTGCTTCCATGCTTAATTTGTGGAAAATCGACCTCTGACTTTTTTATCCTGAAATTAGAGTATTATCTGTTTTCTGTTCTACAACATAACACCGATATTATGACTCCTGACTTGTCTAAAGGTCGTCGCCATGATATTTAATGCTTTTTCTGAATGAATACGAAGTTAAAGCGTATTCGTTTTTTCTATTTCATAACACTCAAGTTCTTAGATTTATCAAGTATTTATATATTTAGCGACTAAATTTATAATCAGGCAAACCTATCCAATTTTTATTAAGTCTTTTGAGGTGCAGAAAACTTCACTTTGTTTTGTTTAACTTAAATGCAAAGGTTATGTCAACATTATTTCATTAAATATCTGCTGTTTTTTTCTGAAAGAGTATCAAATTTGTCGTACTTGAATTAAAGGGACTAGTTATTACATTAAATATCTGCTGTTTTCTTTCTGAATGATGATCACATTTATCTTAGTTAAATTAAAGGGACTAGCTATCACATAAAATATTTACTGTTTTTTTTCTAAAAGAGTAAAAAATTATCAAATTTCTCGTATATAAATTAAAGGGAGTAGTTGCCTTTAATTTGGAGAATTAAAATCCATTAAGTTGTTCAGCTCTTTTGTCTATTGGGAATTATGCTGTTTGCCTTCATGGTAAGACAGCAAAGTGGTCACTTTGCAATTCGATCTGTCCCAATTTCCGCTAGACGGCGAAGTACAATCAAATGTCAGGAAACAACCGATTTGCTGAATTTAAATGCAATAAATGCGATCATTTTCCTTTTCCCGGCCCCGCTGTGAAGTATCTGACCTTATATTCTAGCTTAGATAATGCATTCGAAATGGTTACAATGGAGTTTCAGATTTTTGATATTGATACATAAGGTATGGTGTGAACATCAGTTAAAAGCCATCTGGTTTTCATTGAATCGATCGAGCAAAAACATGTAATTTTTAAAATCCAACTGCTCGCTAAATAATCCATGTACCGTCTCGTCTATGCAGGTTGCACATAATGTTTTGTTCTACAGCAAGTATCATTTATAAATCTAATGTAGTTGAACCATACCAAATGGTTTGAGTATCAACTTGAGAAAAATATGCCACTGAATTTTTTTTTCATCAAGTCCAGAAAATCTCAGGTTTTTGTGACTGAACGTGGTGAAAACACTTGATCGTGCGGTTCATCAAAAACATCATAAAAATTAGGTCTGAAGATTGCAGATTATGAGTTCTTCGACTCATTTATGTTGATTTAAATTAAACATGTTGAAATTTGACGGTTTATTCTATTCTATGCATACGCAATCGAAAGAAAATTGACGGCGTTTTAGTGAAATACGTTGGCTTTTTGTTAACCAAAAAGTTTTGTAATAATTCATTTTATCAAGGCAATATGATTTTTCTGAGTAGCTGCTGCATATTTCTGACTTTCGAAGAAAGTGATGAAAGTAAACTCTGTTGTTTCAAAATCAAAAAAAAGAAAGGTGTTTCTATGAATTTTTTTTCGATTTTGTATTGTTGTTGTTCTTTTTTTTTGAAAAAAGTTTTAAATTTTGATAATTTCTTTGTTTGTTTTTTTTTCTAATTTTATTCAACGCATAAGTTTCGAAATCGGATCTAAAAAAATTCTCATTAAAATGAAAAACTTACAAATTGATTTGAAAAAAAATGGTTTAGTTTTATTTTGAAATTTTCATAAATACAAATAGCTAATTAATGAAAAAAGTTCCATAAATGAACGGTTTTTTAAAAAAAAAAGATCGTTTGTTTTTTTTTTGGGTTTGCTTGAGTTCACTAAGCGTGCCCCAACAGCTTCAAAATCAAATATTCGTTATATTGTTTCCTGCTTAGATAACTACTTTCTTTCTCATCAATGTGAAAAACAAGATAATGAAACTTGTTTATTTCGGAGTACTTTCGGCTAGACAGCCATAATCAGCACTGAAAAATCTGCTTAGATAGTTTCGTATCTTATATTAAGAGTCCATGAACCAAGTTCAGACTCTTATATAGGTCGCGATGGTTTTTTTTGCTCAAAATAACGTTTTGTGTTTTGGCTCTTGATTTTTTTAAGGTTCAGATCGTTTACTTTGTTAAAACAGCTCTTTCGAACAGCGAAAGTAAGAAGATCACCAAAAACGTGATCGACTTCTACTTTCGAAAAGGGAATGTAAGTTTCAGAATTCCCAGCGGAATAAAAACTTTACCTATTGATCCAGTTTTCTCAATTTGAGTTAATTTTCTCAAGTAAATGTCTATCATAAATTGTTCAAGATTATCCAAGAACTTTAGCGTTAGAAAATCAAAAGTTTAGATTTTTCAAAAAATTTATGTTTTTTTTCCTGTTTATTGCGTTCCTTGACTCTTTTCTTACTGTCTGTTGGCTATATTTTACAATTGCGAGAGCAAGTGTCTTTTAATCGGGAACTTGTCAGAATTTCCAGATTCCTTGCCGTTTGGCCTGACGGTAACGCGGTCGCTTTTGCATCCTAAGGTCAGGGGTTTGAATCCCGGCTGGACCTTGTTTTTATTTTTCAGTATGTATAGAATTCAAAAGTTTTCCTCTAAAATTGAATTGTCAGACTTCCATTTGGCTGCTCAATTTTTGTCGACTTAGGTGCCACGTTTCTATTTTTCTTATGCTATTAGCAAGTATTATGATAGTTGAAATAGTTTTTTGTAATTTTTTAAAGTTTTATTAAATCTTTAGCAAATCTTTGATTGTTTGGCCGTTTTTTGAACCTTTGACTTTTCTCGAAATTTATTCTCCCAAATCTGAGATTTTGGGCGCAACCGAAATACCGGGTTGTGGGAAGCTCCCCTACATAACCTAATACGCGCATTTTTTAATGCAAAACGTTAAGGATCTCAAAAAGTTTTTTATAACCGTTTTTAAATCTATTTGACTTCTCATAAATTACTCTCCGATTATTGAGTTTTTGGGTTCAATCGAACAACAGGCTACTTGATTATTTTCTGCTCAAGTGGATATACTCAGTTTTTAGTATACAAAAATTGTAATTCACGGAGAAATCAATTTTTTGACAGTTGTTTTTTTTTTTACTTTTCTCGAAAACAACCCTGCTCTTTTGGCTCAATCCAAAGAATGGGTTGTGGGATGTTTTTGCATACGCGGCTACGCCCAAATTTTTTTAAATATAAAGTTTTGGCCCTCGGAAAAAGTGAAGTTTTAATTTTTTATCCGTTTTTTGAAATTTGTGACTTTTCTCGAGAACTACCCTCCCAAATCTCAGACTTTGTCTTCAATCGAAAAAAAAGGTTGTGTGAAGCTTCCTCACAACCTGCTTTTTTGGAAGAAAAAGAACTAGAATTTCGGAAAGTCATGTTTTTGAATTTTTCTTAATAGCTTTTCTTAAAAACTACCCTGTAAAGGTTGCGAGAACCGGCTGCGAGAATTTCGTATAGAAACAGCGACTCCTGAATTTTTCAATAAAAAAATGTTATGTCCTCAATGTTATGTCCAAATTTTTACTCTTACTTACTTTATTGAAGAAACAACCTAGGTTTTGGGCAAAAGTTATTGTTTGAAATTATGCATTTCGTTCCGCATCAGTATAACAAATTCGTTTCAACAATTATCAAACGCGTACCTCCAGCTTTAGCTGGACCCTAGTTAGTTTTCATCGATACATACAACAATTTTGGTTTACCTAGTTTTTTCAACTTTTTTAAGAGTAATGAACGTAGAGAAGACTCTTATATAGGTCTTGCTGATTTTAGTTTTTTTTCAGAAAATTTGTTCACACTCGATTTTGATTTTTCGCGGTTTGACTGGTGATTTTTTTTTAAGTTCAGTGCATTTCCATTGTTAAAAGGAAAGCAAACTCCACTATCGAACAGTAGAAATGTAAAGGTCACGAAAAACATGATTGACTTCTAATTTCGAAAATGGAAATTAATTATCAGATTTCTCAGCGAAATAGAAGTTTTCTCAGTTTGGGTTATTTTTAACAAAAAAGTGTCCATCATAATTTGTTCTACAAATTCAAAGATCTTTAAGGCCATCTAGTTTTTTTCTTCGAAATTCAAAAGTTAAAGGCTCTTGAAAAAACAAGTCAGTTTTTTTTAGTTTCCTTGCGTTCATTGCTTTTTTCCAACTGTTAGTTGGTTATGTTCCATTTTTTTTACTTTTGCTTTTTATGATTGTGTTGTGTCGCAAGTGGTGCGAAGCTCCGCTTCGCCTCTGTGTATATTTTGTAGCTTTTTCGTTTCAATCTTTTGTTAACCTACTTAGCAGTTTGAACGTGGAGTCATCCTGAAAAAATCCTGATAATTTTGGTTTCCAAAGTATTTTGGAGCTCCTTTTAAGTAATTTAGATCCACCATGCTGTTATAAAACTTAAGTTTGATCAATGAAACTTTGAAGATGAGTCCTAAAATTAAAATTATAATTTTGGTTTTGAACTCAAGAGAATGTAACCGATTAGCTATTCCCTTCTGAAGTTTAATTTATTGGCATAGAAATGTAATCGTACTCGTTCTTAAGTGGTAAGGGTTTATGGCTTAAGATTAATAGAGTACCGCAAATATAGCGCATATTTTTGCTTTTCTCTAAAATGCCAAATTTGCGCGTAACTTCAATCTGAACACCAAAAAAATGAAAAATCAGTTTACTCGGAATTGAAAATACGTTCTTGAAACTGTTATTGACCAAAGCTTACTATGGTACCTGACATAACCCTTCGAGCTCAGTTTATTTATCGAAGAACGAAACATAAGTAAATTGGAATTTATAGTAACTTTTCTAAAATATTTACGAAAACATCATAATTGGGTTTTTCAGCTGCAGTTATATTAATTTTAAAACCACAAAAAGGTTTTTTTTTCAAATTTTAGAAATCTTTGCATGAAAATAGTAGCCAGAACGTTCTGCGCTATTGGCACAGCGAATCTTTACACCTACCTTTTATTAT